ATACTAGAATAGGTTCAATGACCCTTTTGATTTACTTCCTATCATTCAACATTTTGGTATCCTACCCGTAAATTTTGGTACCCCATACAAAATTTTGGTACCCTTCTTTGTTCGTAATACCAAAATTTAACCCTTTGATTACGACTAAGAATCAGTTTTAGATTTAATTCTAGGGATATCTCATAAATTAGTATGCATCTTAGGCTTGACAAGGTCGTAGCCTCGTATATTTCGTTACTTCATTCTTGCCAATCTCACGGTGTCTCAAACCCAAACAGAATGGTATATTTTTTTTGATATTAAAATTGAGCACCGGCGCTGTTTTTAAACCTGAATTCTATATTATGATTTCGTATTGTTAGAAGGACTTTAGGTTAATGATTGGGATCTTTCTGGATATCTTTTTCGAATTTTGACCCCAGGACTCTCAAATTTGCCCTACTTGATTATCAGTATTTAATTATACTTATTACTGTAATTTGTTGATTAAATTTTTTATTTAAAAAATATTTATTAGGGAATAAGTTATTTTTTATTGATTATTAGTATTTAATTATATTTGTTATTGTAATTTAAAGTCAACTAAATTTTTTATTTAAAAAAATAAATTAATAATATATTAGATAGTAAGTTATTTTTATTGATTATCAGTATTTATTTATACTTGTTACTATAATTTAAGATTGACTAAATTTTTTGTTTAAAAAAATAATTAATATTATAATAAATGATAAGTTATTTTTGTTGATTATTAATATTTAATTATACTTGTTATTATAATATTAATTAAATTTTTTTTTTAATTATTTATTAGATTGTAAGTTATTTTTATTTTTATTAAAAATATATATAATTAAAGCATATTTAAATTAATAATATAAAATATTATTTTCATATATTTAATAAATATATTTATTAGATAAGTCTTATATTATTATATTTTAAAATAATAATAAATTAATAATTAATAATATTAATATTATATTATTTAGAAAAAAAGTGATTTGCTCAAATTGTAATAAAAGTAATACTGGATATAAATAGTTTAATGAATGTTATTCAAATTTATTTCAACAAAGTTTTTTTAATTGGACTAGTAATAATAAATTTATTAATGAATTTAATCAAAATATTCAAAATAAATAGCAATTATTAGAATGGATTTCATATAATAAATTTGAAAATATTGAGTATCTTGATAAAAAAGAATTTAGTATTATATATAAAGCAATTTAGACTGATGGATTTATTGAATATTATTCATATGAAAATAATAATTGGATTAGAAGTGATAGTATTAATGTAATTCTTAAAGGTTTTGATAAATCATCAAATCTAAATGAGGAATTTTTAGATGAGATATAAATTAATAATTATATTTAATTTTAAATAATAAATTTTTAAATTAAGTAGTTTTTATTTTAGTGAAAACATCATTATGAATATTATAGTCAATTAAAAAACTATTCAGATGAAAAACTTATTCAATTATATGGATTTACTCAAGATTTAAATACTTTAAATTATATGGTAATAATGAAATATACAAAAAATAATTTGAGAAAAAATTTATTAAATATATTTAAGGATAAATAGATTATTAAATTATTATAATTAAAAAGTATTATTAGTGGACTTGAAAAAATATATCAAAAGAAGCTTATTCATTGTGATTTTCATTATAGCAATATATTAGAAATTGAAAAAGTTATTTTATCTATTAATGATTTAGGATTATGTAAACCTGTAAATTATTTTCAAACACCTAAAAAAAATGAGATTTATGATGTTTTACCATTTGTAACTCCTGAAGTTTTAAAAGGTCAATCTTATACTTTAGCTAATGATATATATAGTTTTTTTATGATTATGTGGAAATTTATATTAGAAGTTTTTCTATTTAATAATAAAGCTTATAATTTTCAACTTGCTTTAAATATTTGTAAAGGTAAACATTCTAAAATTAATGAAAATGTTCCTAAATGTTATATAACTTAATGAAAAAATATTGGGATATGGATTCATCAAAAAGGCCAATAGTATTAAGAATTAAAATGATTATTGAAATTTGGATTAAAATTATTAAAAGTAAAGATTTTAATTATAAATTAAAAGATGATATTATAGATTTTTATAAAGCAGATAAAGTATTAAACCAAAATCAAATTAATAATTTAAGTGTTATTAAAGATCATCCTCAAGTATTTCAAACAAGTCGTTTACTTAACTATACTGAAAGATTAAATTAAAAGTTTAGAAATTTGTTATAAATTTATAATATATATAATTTCAAAATTTCTTTAATTTAATATATACATTTTTAATTATATAGATGGTTTAAATATTACAAATAATGAAATAAGTAAGTAATTTATATATTAATTTATATATTAAATAGATAAAAAAGGAAAATGAAACTTATATATTTAATAATTTATACTTTATTTATTTTTATAATTAATATCTTATTAATATTATATTAATTATTTTCATTTATTTTATTATAACTTATATCATATTTAAATATTTATTTGTAACACTGTATATAGAATATTTATTATAAAAACTGTTTGTAATTACATAAATAAATTTTTATATATAAATTAAATTATAATAAAAAAATAAAATATAAATTACTAATAAATATTAAATTGCTTTTATATGAGTAATGAGATTAAAAAAATAAATTCCAATTTTATTTAATTAGTACAAAATAATATTAAATAATTTATATATTTATTAAATTTACTTTATATCAATAATGACAAAACTTAACTAAAGAAAAACACATATCACGTAATTCCGAAGCGATACAAGCTAATTCTTAATAACGATTAATTTTATAGATATATGTATAAATATCATTCTATCTCTGCTGCATAAGTGCAGGAACCCAAAAGTAAAAAAAAAAAGGAAATTCTGATAAAAATTAGGCGCCCGTATCAGTTTTTTCAATAACGAAAAAATATTTTTTTTGTAATATTGTTCGCGAATATACATATAAAATATAGACAATGACGTTAACGAATTTGCCGGCGGATTTATATCATATATTAAATTACCTGCTTATTCAAAATAAATTTTTTTAAAAATTGCTGCTGCGCCACGAATACAATCCGATTAATCGAAAGCAAAAATCGAATCCGAGAAGTGATAAACTAGTTATTTTAGAAAAAGGAAAAATATATAATCTCATGAAATAAATGACCGCACCCTTAATAATTGCTATAATAATTTAACATATTAGCGTCATAAAATTTATTAATGAAACTGGACAAATTTTTGCTTTTTCATAAAATGATCTGCAAAATGATCGGTCGTCCCATGACTTTTGAAATCAGTTGATATCATAAATAAATATGCATAAAGGGAAAATTCCGGAAAGGTGCATGTGATTAACTTCTCTCTCACAGAGTTTTATTTCGGAATTTTGTAAAGATTCGAAATTTTCATTTTGACGAAAATAATTTTTTCTAGCAGGCTTTGTGAATTGTAACACTATTACAGGCACAAGTAAATAGTTAAAGACCATTTTTAACGTTTTTAAAATGCGAATTTAACGGTAATTAATACATTAACCGGTTAAGGATTTTTGGACTGGTTCCAACTTTAACAGATATAGAAAAGGCATTGAATATTACCAAATTTAATTTGCTAGCTAAATTTAAAATAATTAATTTTTAATTTTATATTTTTATTTACAATCAAAAATTCTAATTGTCGAGTTGGTCTATCTATCTATTTATTAATATTTTAAAATTCTATGTTAAAAAATTTTCTGGATTCATAATTTAAGCAATTTTAAAGTTAGAGTTCATACCAGAGTTTAAGATGCTAATCTTTTTAAATTTACATATATAAATCTTAAGGCTTAACATATTGTTTTTTAAAATCTTAAATAGCTTAAAAAAATTCAAACATAATTCTGACATACTTAAAAGGATAAAAATGAAGAATAGAAAGAAAGGGATAAAAATTCTAATGAAGATAAATGAAGAGAAACGACCAATCAGAAATGTCAAAAACTTTGCCTCATGTGGTCTTTAAAGGAAAGAATATCCAAGAAAAAGTCTATAATATATTGAAACAAAGATTGCGTTAGAAAAGAAAATTGAAAATTGAAATATATGAAATTCGCTACTATCCTGCAACAGTTAGCAATTTTAATTCAAAAGGAAATATCAGTAGAAAAGTTGGTAAAGAAATGTAACGACAGGTAATAGAAAACAAGAAATATATAAAAAAGATATAAAACAGCATCAATAATGAAGTGAAAACAAATGTGAAGTAATGAAGGAAATGTTTAAAGTAAATATGAAAGGAAAATTGAGTACAATTTATATCAAAATTGTATATGAATCTAAGGTAGAAAGATATTTATAAAGAAAGTGTCGGTAGTCAAATTGTTTCGAAATAATGACAGGAAAATTGTTAACGGAAATAAGCGTTATGAAAGGAAATAATTAGATACAGTAAATCAAAACTTAAGAATGTATATATCGAAAATGACAGTAGCAAGGTGAGTGAGAAAAAAAATTGTCGTATATTTTTTATACTTTACTTAACAAAAGGAAGAAAGAAAAATGTATATCGGAGGAAGGACAAGATGATTAATTCTAAAAGAAACGATATTTTTATTGAAAACTACTACCGTTAAAGAGAATACTATGTGTTGGTTGTGGCGTAGTAATCTGATTCATTCTAAAAATAAAGTCCTCTCGGCTCAATCGCAAAGCATGATTTCGATTTATATTATTCACAGATTCTGCCAAAGTTGTGAATTGATCCCTTTGAAAAGCAGTTGAATTATTCCAGATATAATCCGTTGCCAGACTAATGATATGTCTGTTATACATGCGTAATCGATTAGCCTCTCGTTTTACGTTTCGTTTTAGCAAAGTTTGTCCGATTATATTTGGAATATTTCTAACACATCTCATCTGAGCCGCAAGAATCTGAGCGTTACTATTAAAAGGTAGGTAAATTCTATGATAATTTATACGTGATAAAAAATAATATAATATAGAATGTGTAGAAATATTACAATTTCTTCTAATTCTTAGAGAGGACATTTTGAAAGGAAAAATTTTTATGATCACTGTGATTTGAAACCGCCAGCAAATCGGTGGTGTATTTATGTTGAAATTTAATGATGGGAGTACCGTATAACTTATTATGAATGGAAAGTATACATTTGTAATACTTATTCATATATGGGATAGCGTGCTTGGATAATTACTAATCATATATAATTAATTGGCTATTCTTTGATCTGCTTTACATTGCCTTAATTCGACTTCGCCACCATAACTATAATGAGAACGTAATGAGGCCGCAGACCATATACAAATTATGACAATAAATTATATATTATCTTCCATTTTTGTGAAGAATGACCATCACGATCAAATGAGTACATGCTTTATAATTCATTGGATAAGCTGTTTGGGTAATGTTCCAAGCATTAAAAGAAGTTTCTATAATGATATCATATTATTATTAAGTTACTAACGTGTTTTGCTAACCTATAGGAAGAGGGTCGTGATAAAATTAATAATTGAAAGGTTTTCATATTAAAATGCTGAGTTGTTCTATAAAGAAATATTTTATTTATTTAATACAATATAGTAGAATCTACTTTGTTTATTAAGAAAATATGGTAATAACTCATTGCTTTGAATCCTCTCTCTATTTGGATAACAATCTTTTTTATAAGTTAAAGTACTGTGACGATTATTACTTAGAAGTCAACAGTTTCATTTATTAGTTTTTTCGGGAAAATCTTTTTTTTTCATGAAAATAAATTTCTAATGTTATCATTTGCCGAACACACTCGTCTTACCTTTCCTTTCTTTGTTTGTGAATATACATTTATTTTATGTAATTAAAGAGTTGTTTATTAATTGGATATTACACACCTTCATTTTCTACTCAAAAAATTAGGAAAGCGTTATTATTGTTGTCTTATCGATTAAAAGTTTGTTCGAACAAAAGAATATATTATTTTACTTTGAATTTATCAATATAGTAATCATCAAACTAAACAAATATGATAATAATACATTCATTTAATTAGTTGATGTCATTAACAAACAAAATCACTTGAAATCAGAATTTTTGTGTTGTATTGGAAAATAAGTTTGTTTAAATAACTGAAAGTCAGATTATTATATAAATTAAAACAAAAATAAGAATATTGAATTATAGGAGAATCTACTCCATATGGAATATACAATATTAAACTATGTGTCAAGCGATAAAGTAAATCATGATTTAGTACAATTTCTTTTTACTAGTTACAAGTTGAACGAAATTTTGAAAAAAAACTTCCTTGCCTTGCATTTAAAAAATAATTACAACTAAATTATTTTGACTGACAACGAGGGAGCTAACAAATGTACTCACTTTGTAACTTAAACGCTATAAAGTGTTTAATTCATCATCAATTGTCAAATTATCATTAAATGTGTATGTAACGATAACAATAGTTGTGTCTAAATAATAAACAATAAAATTGCTACGCCTCGTTTTTTTAAGCAATAAAGAAAATATTTTCTCTATTCTATCGAAATGTGGATTAATTATATACATTTTTTTTTTAACTACAGTATGAAAAAGATAATTATTCGAAATCTGTCAATACTTGGAATGAAATTAACGAGAATACATGGCTATGTAGAAATACGGTATATTAATAAATTTAATTGGAAATTTTTTACAAGTCAAAATGATTATATGGAAAGTTTAATGGTTGGTTTTATATTATTTACTTTTCATCCTATCATATCAAAATAAAAAGATATTTTAAGAACGTTGTTTAAGTGGCGCCGAAAAGCGCAAGTTCAAGAAACTTTCTTACAGCTTGTGTAATATTTCAAAGCTTTGAAAGAAGATTTTGTAAATATTATCATCCACTAGGATGTGGTGTTTCTCATAAACGATATTGAATGAGGAATGTAAAAAATTTCATATGATAAGCACATGGTAATGGAGAAGGTTCAAACTCAAACAAAAATCATGTATTTCTATGCCGAGTAAAATTCTTCAATCTTTTATAATATAATGTGTGTGTAATATTGAAATTATTTTTTAATTAATTGAACTTTAAATGTTAAATTAATCATTGAAGAACTTCTATGAAAGTAATATGGTAATAAAAATAAAGCTCTTTGAAGCGGTACCTTTATTTGGAAAACAAGCTTTTTGTACGAAAAAGGAAATATAATTGGTCATTCATTATCGACGAACATCTTATATTTGATGATAGATCTTATTAATTTCCATTATTCATTCCCAATGAGGATTTACCGAAGAAAAATTTTACATGTATTATTTTATTGTTTATTATAAAGGTTGGACAATTTATCTTTCACATTATTCAAAGAAAAAAATAAATAAAATAAACAATTTTGCCGTTTTTGTTTATCAAAAAAAGAAAAAAATGAATGAAACAATGAATATTTCATTGTTTTGTTAGTTATTTGAAATGGTCAATACATGTAAAAAAACATTGAACTTTTGATGAAAGAACTTCATGTATGATAATTAACGGAAATTTTTTTTTTGTATGACACATATTTTGTGTAATATATTTTTCTTTCAAGTTGTCGTTACATGTAACATAGGGTACTGCCAAAAAAAAAGTATTGTATTACCAGATCATTGCTGCGATCGCTAAATTAAAATTTGAAATGTAAGACATTTCCTATTGAAATTTATGCATATTTTATTCAATAACCTGAATTCTTGTTAATTAATTCCGTATTTCCGAAGAATTATCTTTTTTAAAAAAAATAAAAATTTTTCCATTTCGATAGAATATAAATATTTGTTTTCTTTACCGTTATCCAAAAAAAAAAATAAAATAAAAAAAAAACGAGGCAGGCATGCATTTTTAAAAGCCATCACATTTAATTTCTTTAGAATCGGCAGCTGCCGAATTGTAAATAAAGTACTTAGGAAGTTTTTCTTACATAAAATCATTTTTTTAATAAAATTAAATTAATAGCTTGATATAATTATCGCTGCATTCACATTGATTGGCCATAAATACTTGATTGTCAAATTTTTTTTTTTTTTTTTTGATCATTAAATGGAATAATTTAATAAGCGTCATTAACTTTAATACATCTCATACTCAGTAAATTTTTCATTAAACAAGATGCTTCGGTGACGCTTAATTATCGTACTTACGCTTCTCAGCAGGAATCTTCCTCGAATTAGCTAAAATTCAAGAATTAATGTCAATTTAGTTTTCAGTTGTATTTTAATTATGACATTATTACATTTAAATATCCAGACATCTTAAACTCTTCTTGGTAATGCGAAAGTCGATTAAATTTTATTGAAATTTAACAAGTGGATTAATTGCTAATTCAAAACAAATATGCGAAGAAAGATATTCCGTGATATCCACTGTCAAAGTTGATCTCATTGTGTGAAATTAGGTCCAGTCGCGATATGTTTAAATATCTGCGCCCCCAAAGTATTTTTTTTTCGTAGTGAAAATAAATTATTGATTGATTGTGTAACGATGACGTAAAGTATATTTTTTTTATTTTCATTTATTTTTTTTTTAGATAATTCAAATTCATAATACTGATTTGATTAAGATTTAATTATAAACTTCATTTAAAATGACGAAATGACTTTTCCATCAATTAAAAATTTTTGAAAATAGACGATTAGTTAATTACTTACTCATTATAGAAGTGATCCGCGCCGTTCGAACACCCGACGGTAAATTCATTTTTAGAAAGTTAACAAAGCGATGATCACAATAAGTACTTATTTAAACTTATTTTAAGGGGCTTGGTTTTATGAAGCGGTGATCCGCGCCATAGATTATTACCTCGATAAATAAATGAAATAATGGTTAAGGAGGTTTTTTTATTATTCAGAAATGATGTTTTGTAATACAAATACGAAACAAAGAAAATACCTGTGCGTGTGTTATTAGGCGTATATTGTGTCAGGTTAACCGACCGATCAACGAACCGGAAATGAAATTTCACACACGTAAGTCAATCTCATCTCTTTTTTTTTTTACAACATAATGAAATCATATGAAGAAGCAATGAAATATGGCTTGGCTAAATCTTAAGATTTAGTTACATCATATTAAACCCGATCATTTAACGTGGTTCAATAATCAAAAATAGATTGAATTTGATCACAAAGTGAGTCGAATTTTATTTTGTAATATAAATATGATTCGAGCATTTTTCACTTTTCAATTTTCCTTATTAATATTGGTACAAAATCATAAAAGGAATTGTTCAACAGCAACAACATGATATCTTTCAGGGGATTCCTTATAAAACTTGGAAGATTACTGTAAGTTGAATCATTGACGATATCTACTCCCTGGCGCTACATGATCCGGGCATATTCCATGCTGGCGTAATTAAAAGCTTATCATGTTACATTATTTTTTTTTAATACTAATAAATGCTAATTCACATGTTTATTCAGATTCTTTTTTTTTGACGCGAGTAAAGAATCATGCAATTTGTATCGAAATCATAAGAAATACTTTGTATTTAGAAAATGACATTATGTAATGTAAACGTAACATAATCTCAGCCATGCATAAGTTGCACAGAGTGAGTATTATAAAAACGACACGAAAATTCTTGAACCTTTTCAACACTACATTTCTTTTCTAAAAAATGAATAGCCAACAACTAAATTCTTTTTTAAGGCGAGCAAATTATGATAGAATTACTGTCCCCGATATGAATTATGTGCGGCGCCTTATTACTCAAGCGTTACCCGGCAGAATTCATCGTAGAATGACGGGTATAAAATTATTGAAAAGAAATGTGATCCTTGAAGCCAATAGATTACGGATTATTCAACGACATATAATTAATCTAGCGACGAACCATTTTTGGCAGATTTTGCCAATTTCTCAGCGAAATCAATTCACAACTTTAGCAAATCGTGTAAATAGCATGAATCCAAACTATACGTCTCGTAGGGATACACTTTATAGGATTTCTCAAATACCCGAACAACAGGAAACCAATAATGAATTTGAGGACATGTTTTTTCACGGATCAAGTTTTCC